AAGATAGTTAAAGTTTTTTGTAAAAAAAAAATTATATTAACCGGATTAACGAGAAAAATCGCGGCCGATTTTCCAGTTCATGGTTAAACCACCCGGGTTGATGGTTTATTAGCCGGTTGTTTGTTTTTCGGTTAATGTATAAGTACCAGATCGGATTAGAGGCCGGTTCAAGGTTTTTCCTGTTGAACCGGTCGGCCCAGTTCGATTTTTATAACATTGTTTTAAAGTTCAGATTAATAAATATTCTCAATCATTTTAGTAGTACACAAACTAGGTATCGACAACATGTCTGTTAATATTGCAATTGATGTTTTCAACTAGTTGGAAGAGGTATCGAACCCAAAGGTGTGCTTGAATGACCGGATGGTCTATTGCCTAGTGACAACCAAGATGTGAATGGTATGTACGTTATTATGAGGAATTCAAAATTTTAAATACTCCCATCTTATTCCCTAGTAAACAAACTAGAAATCGTTGACATTTTGTTAATACTGTAAATGTTGTTTTCAACTAGATGGAGGAGGCATAGAGCCTAAAGTATCATGCCTGGACAATGAGGAAGTTCCCTCGGGCTGTGACGTGATGGAGGCGGGATATGTTTTGTATTGGAGAAGTTATACTAAGTTAAATTCTGATTATATACTATAAGCACGTTGAGTTGAAAAACTAATGTTGAATGCCTTCTCATGATTTAAATGCAGATGATACTACAATGTTGGATGATACCATGGATGAGAAAATGAGTCAATAATTGGTGCCCAAGAAGTTTGTTAATGCTATGATAAACACTATTTGGTGGTTGTGTGCTAAATGACCATAGTAGGGACAATTCTCCAAGAATTTGATTATGAACACGCTTTAGAGATTGTACATATCTGTGCTTATGCACCTCTAAGAATTCGACGACCATTGATGTGGGCAAAATTTGCGCATGTCATATGCTATAATGATTTATTGCTGTTTTGTCATGGATTTATATGGTAACGTTTGTACTGAATGTTGTGCAACAACATATCATTTATGCATCTTATTTGTAGTCAAGTTTGCAACCAACTGTCGAGAATCACGGGAACCTTCTATTAGGCCTGACAGTTTAACTTTCGGGATGTGACGAAATATTTTGCTTATGAACTTAAACACGACAAATGTTTCCAAATGGTTATGAAACGTCGGTGATAATATAACTATAGAACGTATAGCGCCAGTGTAACATGCAAAAAACAATGATGGACAAGTTAAGAACATAAATATTATGTTGGGACCGACAGTTGAACTGTCCAAATGTAATGAACTAATCTGTGTATGTGAAAAATTTGATGTGAAGTTATTGCTACACAATTGATGTTTGCAAACAATAATGATAACATAACTCAAAAATGTACAACGCCTCATTCGGTCATGCAAAATGCAACTTCAACCAGTTTTAGACATCAAGCCTATGTACTTGACTGGTGTTACAATGGAGTTAGAACATATGGTCCGATTATGGCCAACTATACCACATCAAGTGCTTTCCCTTATTTGTAGGGTAAACTCGAATCTAGATCGCTTGCGTCGTGTGGGTGATTTTGTCCCTCTCCATTTCCATCTATCATTCACATGAACAAACTTTCCCCAACGCGACACGATGAATCTCATATGATTATTCATATCTAAAAAGTTGATATTGCAACGGTAAGAATTCTACACAATCAATATGTCAGCATTTAATAGTATGAAAGTGGCACATTCGAATAGTAAATCCATACAATAGTAAATGTCAAACCGATAGTTGAAATGTCTATCCCGACGGTTTTCAGGTGTCGAATTCGACAATTGAAATGTCTATCTCAAGAGTTTCGAAATGTCGAGATCAATGGTTGAAATGTCTAACCCGACGTTTTCTAAATGTCAAATTCCACAGTTGAACTATCAGAACTGACGGGGAAGCATATATGTGGATGATTGGAACAAATTCTTCATCACATCTTCATCACATCAAGTGTGGTCACCAATATTATACTACTAATGACAAAATCTTTATCCCAAATATTTTGCACAGTAAATCATTGAAGAGACAATCCTTCAAAATATTTATTTGGTTTGATTGGAATAAATTATTCAAAATATTAATGGTGATAATCAATTCTCAACTACTATATGACAACATCTTCCCAATAAATAACTCAATGCTTAATTAAATATGGTATCCTTCACAACATTTTGTAGATGATATTGATATCTTTATCTCGAAAGATTTGAAAAACCAAAATGAATAATAATTTCGAAAAATTCGAATAAATACGACCATGTTGTATTTATCATTTCAAAAGTAGTAAGTTATAAGATAAAAATATAAACAATTGTAATATGTAAACCTTTTCGAAATAGTTGATGGATCCAATAGTAATGTCTTTTTGATAAAGGAATGGTGAATATTGTTAGAAAGTCGGAGTTTTTTAATGGTATAAGAAATTGGTTTATATTCACTTTTCAAAATCTTTTTTTTTTAATTAACAAAATCAATATTACCCAATATTTAGAATACAAAAATTAAATCATCACTTCATGTGATTAATGACATTCAAGTCAAGCATTAACGATCATTAAATACTCCTAAAAATGTATCACTAAGGGTAAGTTGGACATTTCATACAAAAAATGACATTTTTAGCACCAACGGTAAAAGTGAGAAATTTTGGTGTACTTTTCAAGTTTAGTAACATCTACGAAAAATCCCCTTGAAAAATTGATCAGAATTTGTGAAATTTTTCAGTTCTCGAAACAACCTGTGTAATTGGAAGCATAAGAATTTACAAGTAAAGAAGAATTCCTTTTGTTTACAGCTCTCTCTAAGCGTTACCTCATATTTATAGGTTCTGTTTTCGGTTCCAAATATAACGTTTTCTGTGTTCTAGTTTCATATCTTTACTTTTCTATTGGAGTGGTTTCAACAATAGACCATGGCCCGACCCGACCTACTTATTTACCATGAAGCTTTAAGTTGCGATTTTTACTTTTTTCTCTTTTTACCATTAGGACAAACAATGTAATCGTTGGGTATATTTGAATATACTTTTGTGTTTAAGACTTCAAATTATGAATTCTAGGTTGAGTAGTTGTAATTGGATTTTATTGTGTTCTTTTTATCCAACTAAAAATTTGAACAATTTGAGAACCACGTTGACGCGAAGAGTAATACTTGTATTGTTTGCTCGTGATAACGAGCTTCATAATTTGCATGAAGGATATATATATAGCCTTGAAATTGTGTGGCCAATGAAAGAATTTTCTCAAGTTTACCGTGTTTTCTATTAGTTGTTATTTTCATAGAGATACAAGAAATAGTTTATCAATTGGAAGTCGAATAATTTAAGAACACTTGACCATCAACTTGGAATGATTATCGTCATAAATACAAGATATTAGGGTGCGTTTGATTGTAAGGGTGGAAAATGGGTGGAAAGAAAATGTTTTACAGGGAAAAGATTTGCCTAAAAAATGTTTTGCAGGGAAAATGATTTCAAGTGTATTTGATTGGTATAATTTTCCACCTAGAAAATTTTTAAATTTTCTATTCGTTTGGCTTTGTTTTATATGGAAATTGTCCATTAAAGTGATATTTTTTTCCACAATTAGTTATAAAATTTGTTTCTATTGCGAAAAAGTTAAAAAAAAACGAAAAAAAAAAATTTATTTCCTAAAAAATCATTTTTTCATCAAAGTTTAGTGTTCGTTTGGCCTTCGTTTGCATCAAAATTGTCCATGAAAGTGAAATTTTTTTTTACACTTGATTATCAAATTTGTTTCCATTGCTAAAAAAAAAAAAAAGACAGCAGACCAGAAAAAACTTTTTCCACCTAAAACTTGAAAAAACATTTTCCTTCCACGCCTAGAAAGAGGCGCGTCTGTGGAAAATCAAAGGCACAATTTCCATGGAAAAAGTTGGCCATCAAACAACACAATTTCAAGAAAAATGGAACTTCTTTTCATTTTCCATGGCAAATGGGTGTTATCAAACACACCCTTAAGTTAAAGTGAATAAATGATTGGTGAAATGTGAGTTCTATCACTTTAATCAATTCAAAAAAATTCATGTGATTCATACTATTTTGAAAGTTATTTATTTTCTTTTGTTTTAAATCAAATTAAAGGTACATCAATCATTGCATTCAAATTTTGACATTTTCCACTGTAAAAGGCCTCGAGCTTGAACATTTGAAAGCTTCGAGGTTCCAAGTTCTAGAAATTTAAGGTTTGGGAGCACATCGTCAAAATGTTCAAAGGTTAAAGACCCCTGTGCTGCTTATCCTACAAAGTTCAGTTGCCATGGTGAAACAAATTAAAGTTTGGTAATTATTGTGATACTAAGTGAAAAATTTGGTGGTCATTATGAAACAAATTAAAGTTTAGTATCATCTCGACACTAAGTAGAAAGATAAGTGACCATGATGAAATTAACACAACATCCGCCAATTTATCGACAATATTTAAAAGATGTGAATGTATAAAAAATTGAGTAATGCTAATTGTAAATCATTATGTATAAATTAACGATGTGAATCATAGTAATTGAATTTCTTTCTTTTCATTTTTTTCTCTTTATCTCTCTTTAACGTCATCAATCTGTACACGATAATCATTATTTTGCCTACAAAACCCTTGAGTATTCCATAATGTTATAATTTAATCTTCTTATTTCACGTTCAGTTTGGTTTTAATGATGTATAATAATTAAATAATTTATTTAAATTTGAAAAGAAAAAGGAAATTATAAAAAATGATTATTTATTTATTCCCTTAGGGGGAACTGCCTTTCTATTTTCTCAAACTCCAATTGCTGATAAATAATAAATATCTTCATTATGTCCCGTCCCGTCCCGTCCAGTCCCGTGTCAATTAAAAGCATCAGTACACATTCATAAACCCTCTTGTACCACACGCTACCATCCCCTATTCTGCTATTCATAGCTTTAACAAATCTCACCTACTTGGAAGATCGAGATTGGAGCCGAGTTAGGATGAAGATTCAGTGCAACGCCTGTGGGGTGGAGGAGGCGGTTTTACTGTGTTGCGCCGACGAGGCGGCGCTGTGCAGGTATTGTGATCAGAAGGTGCACGCTGCCAACAAACTCGCCAGTAAGCACCAGAGGGTTCTTCTCACTAACTCTTCCAGTCAGATGCCCAAGTGTGACATCTGTCAGGTAATAAATATTTTGTATTTTCTTTAGTTAGTTGGATGTTGTGATAAATTAGTAATATTATATTTTGGGGATATGGTGATCTGTGTGACTTAACTGGGAATATACCAATCATAAGGGGACATATTTTATTATCTATTTTTTGTTTCATGTGGCTCCAAAGTCCAAAGCCAATATTATGAACTTATGATGGATATGCTTTATTATTTTAATGCTTTTTGCAAAGGTGTCCAGATTTTTATTTAGTTTACTTGTATTTTTTTTCTTGCTAAAATGCAAGGTTTTGCTTGTATCCTTGTCTTTTTGTTCACTACTATTAAACGAGCTTATAGCATTAGCATGTATTCAAGGTGAGGTATATCGGTATATGTAATTCGTTGATGGCATAATTTTGAAGTAGTGGTACTTTGAAATCTGAAGGCTTTAGGTTAAGAAGAATTACGATAGAATACATGCAATATCATTTAGTAATTAGTAGCAGGATAACTAAGGATAATTATGGAGTTACCACTGAGGATTGGGTTGTTCTGAAAGTGATTGTTTAAGCCTTTTACCCAAGCCCAATTATCAGTAAGGACGGTGGGATTGAAGAGGAAGAAATACACAGGATTAGAGCGGGGTAGATGAAATGAAGCAGGGTTAGGGGAATTGTATCTGAGAGGAAGATTTTATTAAGGTAAAATGATAAGTCCTAGTGAAATTGATTGCGCCAGTTATGATCTAAGTGTGGGGGCCGTTAAAGGTCAAGATGTTCATAAGATTAAATACCGTGGAAATAGGATGCTAAGATGGACGTGCAAGACTCATAATACTTAGATGGATAAGATTAGAAATGAGAACACTTTATTTGATTGAGAATAAATTAAGGGAAGGAAGAGTAATGTTGTCGGGTCATACTCTTCTTCTTGTAAAGAGGCTCCTGTTATAAGTGTGATGCAAATTCGTAGAGCTATGTAGAAGAGGGAGGGGTAGACCTAAATTAACTTAGCTTGTGGAGTTGCTAAAGATCTAGTTGTTTTAGATCTCTCAATGGATTGTGGAACGACGACTAATGATTCATGTAGCTGACTCCAAATTTAATGGTTGTATGTTTGTCCTGCGGTGTTGGGTTGAAATTAATTTCCTTTTTTCATGGCATCTTTTCCTATAAAAACGTACCCTACTGCTTGGCTCAAAGCATATGTCTGCCACAGGATGGAGTACCAAATTTAATCTGAAAAGCTTGTCTTGAACCAAGAATCTTCATGCATTGTAATTGAATCATCTTTAGGATGCCAAAAAGATGCTCTGTGTGTGTAGGGGCGGATCTAGGAATTCGAGTAAGCTAGGGCGATCGTTTAATATTTATTTAAATAATATAAAAATATTCTTCAATATCAATACATAAATGCCCTAAAATGTAAAACCACTCATGTGGCTCGCCGGGTGCTGGCTTCGCCCTTGCATGTGTGAGGTTTGTGCATTGCTACTAAAAATCTCCGTTCTAGTAAAAAATGCTGTATCTAGCCCCTGGTATACCCTTCTTTTTTTCTCGTGGGCTGGTGTTGATATGGGACCGAAACACATGTGTGCAGCGTATGAACTAAATGCTGGCTTGAAATAGGAGAATCTATTGCTTTTATCTCTATTTATAAATTAGTGAGTTAGGCTAAGAACTATAAAGTATTTTCTTTAGTCCATGCTGAATTTCAGAAGTTCCACGTTTGACATCAGATCACATTCAAATGCAAGCTTCAAATAAGCTACACCTCCATCTACATGACTACATGGTAAGGTGCGATTGACCAAACTGCATATTATTTTCGTCTTAGAGCTTTTATAGGGGTGATTTCTGATTGATAATGTGGCCCATGCTATGTTTATTCACAGAGCTGTTAAGTATCTTGGTTTCATCTCAATCATACAACACATGTAGATATATTTAGGCATCAAACTATCTTTTCCAAGCATTAGATTTTTCATGTCATTATCTTGTGTCAGATCTGCGGAAATACTTACATTAATGTTACCTGGACATTGTACCATTTAGCGCTTGAAGTGTTTGATTATCTCTAATTTGGTAACATTAGGTTTTCATGGTTGGGAAATTTAATTTTTCAAGGAAGATTCTTTTGTTTTATTTCTTCTTTCTCCCACCAGATATGTGGGCTTTCAATTTGAGCTTCACCATCTTAATCTTGTTCTTTTGTGGTAATATTTTTAGACAGAACCCATAAGTGTCATTATTTCCCTATTAGGGATTTGACATCCTTCCACCTTTTTGCAGGAAACATTTGGTTATTTCTTTTGCCTAGAGGATCGAGCTTTACTTTGCAGGAAGTGTGATGTTGCTATACACACAGCAAACCCCTTGGTGTCTGCTCACAAAAGGTTTTTACTTACCGGAGTTAAAGTAGGCCTTGAAGCTGCCGAACCTGGTCCATCAGTGTCCTTGGGTAAGTCCCTTTGTGATGAGAAAACCTCAGAAACAGAGCCTTGTCCACTTCAAAAGCGGACCAGCCCCGTGTCATCGACTGGTCAACGTGTCAAAGCTTTACCTCTCCAAGCCAATGGTGGTGAGGGTTTTATATCATCATATGTACCTTCTACTGGAGGTTCAGTAACTGAAGTTTCCCAATGGCAGTTAGATGATTTTCTTGGTGATTTCAGTCAGAACTATAATTTCATGGATGATGGCTCATTCAAGGTATGACGTGAGTCGTAAATTCCATCAATTTATGTTGGCCATCTTTTAATTTCACTTCCTTCGATTTTCTCTCTCCAAATATTCCGTAAACATGAAGTTCACATCCTGGGTGCGGACAGTACAACCCTAGGGTCTTTTTTGGTTAATCTTCAATTAGGATTGCATTTATCACGCCTAACTAAGATTTGGAAATTTTGAAAGATAAATCAAGTCATCAACAAAAGGGATTTGATCCCTCAACAGAAACAACTCATACAATGGATTAGCAATCAAATGCTTTAGTCTATGCAGCCATCTCCCCCATTGGAAAAAACTAATTGATACATTACACATTATGTAAGAGTTTCTCCATTCCATCATATGGGCATATACAAATCTGGAAATTCTTTATCTAAAGAAGGGGTCAAGCTAGTCTACAGGAAAAAGGAAAGAAGAAAAAATGTCTGTGCAACAATTTTGAGATAGGGTTGAAGTCATCTCTATCCATCCAGCTCCCCTACCAAAAGGAAAAAATATAAATAAATAAATAAAGAAAAAAGAAATGCATGCAACCCTTCCCTGTGGATTTGTGCCCATGCACCTGTACACGTATTGTCCAATTTCATATGAAGCTGCAGTTACTCATTTAAATTCCATGAACTTGATTTCCAGCTCGAGGCAAGGTTGAAAACTGGAAAAATCATTTAGCTCATGTATATGGTTTGATTTTTAAGTATCACTTCTGCAAGTTAGTGGTGGAGCTGGTGCGGTTAAGGATTTTGATTGGCGACAATTTTAAATGGTGGTCTAGTATAGGCTTTCTTTGGCACTAAATCTTGGTGCTGTGAGAATGAACTACCAAAAATTGTGACGAACTGATTTATTGGTGTATTTCCGTGGAACAATATTGTTTATACTTCATCAATTTATGAAGCATTAAACACTTTAGTTGCAATTGTTTTGTTAATGTTCACCAACCTTAATTTATGTCTTCTATATTGATAATCCTATCAGGCTGATAGCGGGAAGCAAGGATCAGATCGCTCCTCGAGTTTTCAAGCCGCAGTTGGAGAATTGGATGGTGACGAGTGTTTCGGGCAGGCACCAGATGCATTTTTTACGGTGCCACAGATCCTTTCTCCACCTACATCATCGGTGCTTAACTGGTCTAAAAACTACCAGAAGCCATCTGATTCTGCTGTATTTGTGCCTGACACAAGTTCTCCCTTGCGAACCTTCCAACACCATCCTCAGTTGCATGGTAATAACTCAAAACGGAGAAGGCAATTCTGAATCATGCTCCAAGCGTTTTACCCATGCAATGGTTAGGATCCATGCCTTATCGTGCTCGATTTGCTTGAGCAGTTAGCTGTGGGGGAACATATAACGTCTCTTGTACGTAGGTTTGTTCCATTGTGCTAGTGTTCCATTGTCCTCTCTCTTGTATGTAGGTTTGTTTTTATTTTACTACTTTTCCATTGTCGTCAAAACGAAGAAAATGATGTAGTTCTTCTTTAACTTTGATATTTGAAGTTGGATGTTCTCAATTAACCGAATCTACCTTTTCAATTTGCATTCAAATCGACCGACTGGAGAGCGCATTGAAGATTATTATCATATAATGGAGATGTCACCCTTTGTTGCTTGTATGGGACATGCTACTCTAAAACAGAAACAAAACATATAACACAAGGTATGACGATGAAAATTTGATAATTTACTCTGCGAATAACGTCAATACCCTGCTAGATTTGTACCATTGGGCTTCAAGAAATGGAATTTACAGATGAAGATATCTAATGTTACACTAGGAGAGTAAGAATCATCAAATCATGCAACGTTTTTGGTATGACAAACGGAGAATCTGAGAGTGAGTAGCACATTTGTATCCTTTGCTCTTCCTTTTTCCTTTTTTGATATTTATAGATTCTTCAGCATTGACAAGCATGATTTCATGGACACGCAGCAAGGAGATTGTGCTAGCAGACTAATTTTGTAAACTATGCATGCCAACTTTGGAGAACTATTTGCTGGATGAGGACTGCTAAAATGCTTCCCATAGATATATTGATGATATTAACAACATCGTTGTTGAGCTGCAAATCAAGAAAGAGAATAAGGTGAAATAAGGATAATAAAAGCAAGAGTTAAGACGGTAATTAGACATGCTCAATTCACTTGCAAGCAAGCTTAAACACAGAAGAAAGGAAGATATGTTTGCTCAACTATGAAAGGTGCCGGTGATTAAGCTCACATGAACCAAAAGCATGTCATTCATCTTTAGAAACACGATAATAGGAATGCATGAAAATGGGTTTAAATTAATCACTAACCCATTGGAATCCTTCTTTCTCTTGGAGGGCAGCACCTATAATACTCTCACCAAGGTTAGCAATCTGGGAAGCAACAACGCATATGATGGCTTCGAGAGCGTTTATCTGTTGCAGCGTAGTTTCTTGATTAGCCATATGCAAAGTTGTAGTTGAAATGTGTTCCAAACATATATAATCTTTCACAACAAAAGGAAAGTGTCTCATTTCATAATGATTCTGCATCAAGAAACACCGCGCTCTTTTTGTCTATCACTTGTATCTAAATAGTTCAATCATTCATCTAGCCCCAATCGTCTTTGTATACTTGCACAATTCGATTGATTTATTTTTATTAGGTTTGTGTTATAAATGTTATAACGAAAGCAAATGAAGAATTACAAAACTAAGAAAACATGGAGGAACTGACCGATCCTCCTTGAAAATAATTTGATAAGAGAGGGAGAGCAAATCCTACCTCACCCATTAGACAACCAATAGAAGCAAGAAGCATAGAAGCTAGAAGTCCAGTGAGAGTTCCCTCAACGCTAACTGCCCCTTCCGTTCCCCTCGGAACTATCTTGAATGTTGTGACTAAATAACTGCAAAGACAATAATATCATTCAAGTTAACTAAAATCAAGACACTAGCTCTGGCAAGGACAATAACCATTTGAGACAAAACTGTAGTGAACAAAAGACATAGTTCTTTCATTTTGTGGGAGCCGAGCAAAAGGGAAACAAAGAGTATCGCTATAAGAATCAAGAATGGAGTTAATTTCTGCATAAGAATGGCAGATGGAACTATTGAAGTATGAGTAGTACTGACGTCGTTTTGCCATACGCCTTCCCTATCTCACTTGAGACTGTATCACTTAGTTTCGTACAGAAACTGGCAACAAATCCAAGTTCCCAAAGGCGAGCAAATGCCTCACCACCAATCCCATTGATGGACAGGAAAGCACAAAAACAGCCAGCAGCACTCGAACCAATCACACTTCCTGGCCCTCTTCTTCCTTTCCTCTTTTCCGCAACCCCTTGCGCCTCCTTTTGAGCCATTTTCACCTTCGTCGCTGCTGTGCCCTGGCAATTTTCCCAATTAATTGATTCGCATTTCAAACTAAAAATACTAAAAACTTCTGAAATCCAGAACTTTAGCCATTTTTCATCATCTTCGCTTTCTTTCTTTAAGCACCCACCAAAACCAAATAATGGAAACCAGCAAAAAAATTAAATCAAAATAATATTTCTTCTTTTCTTTCCACAGATCAATTCACTCAACATTATGATCATACGGTACTCCACAACATTAATCATACAAGTGCATTCAATCAAAAGCAATTTATACACTTCCAAATTCCAATACCCATTTATCAAAATTAATAAAGATACAAAATAGATCAAGAAAAATTCAGCTTACAATGACAAAGTAGGTAGCCACAAGAAGGAACCCAGAAGGGCCAAAAGCCCGCCAAGTGAGGGTACCAAGCAAGAAAGCAGCCCCAATGCCTGGAAAAGACAATCCAGATACCAGAAGAGGAGAGCCCAGAAGAAAGATCACAAGATTGCTGAAGATGGCAGATTGCCACGTGGGCGGCGATGATTGGACCAGCTGAATGGCCTGTTGCATCAGGCTTGGATCAAGATCAGTGCCTGATGCTTGGGTTTGAGTTCTAACTGACATTTTATTCTTGAATTTGAGGGAGGGTTTGGGTTTAGGGTTTGAAATTGAGGGGAAAATGAGGGATTTTGAAAGGGTTTGGAATCTGGGAAGAAAATGTGAGAGTTTTGGAGAGAGAGAGATTGGAGTTGACTGAAAAGTTGCCATTTTTAAAGTTCAGTAGGACTTTCCTTTGGTGAGGAAGAAACCTCTCTTTTAGTACAATATAATAAAAGTTTCATGTTGATTGATGACACGACAGACAAAGAAATCGACGAAATAATATTTTGGTAAGTTAGTGATTATTTGAATAAATTTTAAAATTCAACTATAATCACAAAACATTTGAGAACGAATTTAAGAAAAATTTAATAGCAACTAGAATATATTTGTTAAAGTTTAATCATAATTAAGATATTTAACTCCAAAATACTCGACGAAACTTGAAACCATTCAAAAAAGAATAAATTAAATAAAATATTTTGTAGAAGTTAAGAAAATTTTGTAAAATTCTAACTGTAAGTTGATTTTATGCTTTAAATAGTAATAATATTTTTATAAAATAACATTTACTAATTTAACTCTTTTATGAGAAGAAAAATTCATTACAAGACTCGAAATTTCAAGAATTGTAAAGTTTTTTACCTACCGAAAAATGTTAAATTTTTGAAAGTTTCAAATTGAAAATTTACTCTTCGATAGTGAAAGTGAATTATCATTCAGTGTTTCACAAAGCCACCAAAGTATATCATCGACTAGGCAACATCGCTTCTCAAAGGCATGGATGATTTAGTTGAAAGGGTTGGTGAATTTTTTGTCCGTGATTCAGTTGGGGTTGGGGCAAGGTAGAGTAAATTGCACTTGCTAAAGAATGTTTGTGGCCAAATTCTTAAATGGGTATGTGAAATGACTCGAGGCTTGTTTTTGGGTTGGGGCTATATTTCAAGATTCACTTTAGTATAGTAGTAACATATTTCTATACATTATTTATCGGTCGATGCAAAATCTTTTGCGCTTAAATAGGGACTCAATCAATTTTGCAAATGAGAGGGTGCTATAGATTGGTGTGGTCGAATGCGATGACTTACTCTTTAACTTATTCACAATTTAAAGTTCTCGTACATTTTCGCTCTAAATGCTTTATTAATTTTTGATATATTTTCTTTTTTGTTGACGTAGAAATTCACAATCGCTACCAGTTAGTAGAGCCCCGACCACTCCGAAAGACGGAAATCTGATCACTGTGAGTGCATACTAGGTAAATCTCACTCCATGCGCAGTAGTCCGCAAATCACAGATGAGAGATAAATAGCACTAAGCAAGTCCGGTGCGACGGACTCGACCGAGGAAGTGTTGGCAGCGAATTATGATATTTTAACTTTACATAGAGAGGTACGTAGGTCATACTATTCCATAACTAGAGATAGAAATAGAATAATATGTATGCTTTATCGAACCAATTGCAACTGGAATGATTGTGCGATTGTATTTCTTTCTTCATCTCGCTATTAGTTTGCGACGATTTATTATAATGAAAATTGCTCTTTTTGTTTCATAAAAATAGTAATTTATTTTCAAGTGTAATTGTCATTTGTTATAAGTAATTTTTATTTTCAAATATCATTAAATACAGTAAATTTCATTGAAAATAAGAAACAATACATAAATCAGGTTTTTAGTAAACACTAATTCAAAATTAAGGATATAGGTTTTAAATTTCAAAAATCTGATTTTAATTAAAATTTATTTATGATTTAATTAAATAATTAATTATGTATTTTATTAATAAATATATA